ACCCTATGAACGAGACATCTCCAAAAATGTCCTGCTCAGCTCTTGCAGACTCAAGCCTGGGGCTTCCTTTAGGGATTTAGTCCGTCTCGTATTGGGTCTTCCTCTTTGCCTGCTGCCTTCCGCCTTCCCCTGCAGGATAGTCTTCTCCAGAGAGCCCTGTTTCCTCGTGGTGTGCTCAAAGCAGGGCCGCCTCAGCTTCCACCTTCATGCCTTTTAAGTAGGGTGGCCACATGAAACTGCAGGCAGCGCTCCTGTACCTCTAATCCCTGCGTGGAGAGAGACTCTGTCGCGTGCATGCCCAGCACGCAGCTCTTAAAGGTATAGGAGCCTTCTCCTCTCTTTCATTTGGCCGACCTCTGTTCCGTTGTTGCTCCATGCAACAGTGAACCTGTGATTAACTTTATTTATTTATTTTATTTTATTTTATTTATATGCCGCCCACACTACCCAAAGGTCTCTGGGCGGCTTACAACAATTAAAATACAATACAATGATGATGGGTCTTAGACTCTGTGCCAAGTGCCAGCCAGAAACCGAAGCCAGAAACCACTTCTGTTGTCTTTTTATTCTACTTGCAGCTCACAAAGCTATTTTGCTCCTTCTTAAAAGCTTTCTTATTTAAAGCACAGCCTTTGCGATTCAAAGTGGTGGTAAAGACTCCTAGAGTTGTGTTGCTGAAACTTCTCTTCCCTGGAACTTCAAACTCTGTGGGTTTTCTCACACAGATTGGAGGACAAAACGAGCCGAATGCAGGAGCAACGCATCTGGAGAATGGAGGACTCTGCCAAGGTAGGAGGCTCTGGGGATTTCGAACGTCCCGTACATCAGTGTGACTCTTTTTGTGATCCTGACATGGTGAAGCTCCCACCCTCATCCTCATTAACCCACCTTCTTGATCCGAGCAGTATATCAGCTTTGTGAAGCTGGCTTTCTTTTCCCAGCGACCCTCCCGGGCCTCTGGAGGGAACTGAAATTTTCTCCCCGAGATGCCTTCCTGCTTTCTGATGTCAATGGGCAGGTTCTCCATGTGGCGTCACACCTGAAGACAGGGGTGGATGCCAACCGTGGGGAACCCAAATGTTCTCGGACTCCATCTCCCAGAAGCCACCACCACCAGCTGGGCTGGCCAGAGGGGTTTCTGGGACTTGCAGTCCAAGAACCGCCGGGTGACCCAAGGTTGGGAACCCCTGCCCCAGAGTGACCAAGACACAGAACTTCATTGATGAGGATGTGCAAATAGGAGTCAGTTTGGTTCTCAAGGGGATTATCGGGGATGGGAAGAGGGTGAGAAGGTTGGGACTCCATGCATTTCGTGCATTTCCTTTTTGGCTCGCGAGGGTGTCGTGGGCGGAGGAGCAGGGCAGGGCATTTTACCAGAGGGATGACCCTGCTGGAGGCAGGAACTGGCCCTCCACGCCTGCTGAAGGATTCTGGTTTTCAAAACACCTGACCAGATAGACCCCAGCTTGCTGCTTCCCCTCTTGGCCACGGCCTGCCTCTCAGGGTCGTTGTGGAATAGGCAGCAGCCCCATCCTGGGAATCCTCCTCTTGAGGAAGGGTGGGATGAAGTCTAATAAGGAAAAAGAATCAGAATTTTTCAAAAAGGCTGCTCTCTGAAAGACAGGGCGAAACTGCCTTTTGTCCGACCTGCAGAGGATCGAGACTATACACCCTGCTGGGAAATGTGGCTTTTCTCAAGGCACCGAGAAAGCCAGCTGAGATGCCCAGTGCCCTTGCTAAGGTATAACTAAGCCCGCTCTCTACGAGGCCAATTCTGCTAATAATTGCAGGAACCTCTATCCAGTCCCTACTGATTAATCTTTTCTGCTGAATGAGGCAGTTCCAGACTCTTGTCCTTCTATTCCTACCAAAGGAAGGACGAAGCCCTGGTGTAAGGATGAGGCTTTCCCCATCAATGCAGGCAAAAAAGGATAATACTGTATTGATGTGGGCTTCCTCACTTGTGCTCTGTAAAATTGCACCTTTTCTCCATGGCCACCTGGGGGCGATCCTGGCTTTTTCACTGCCCTTTTTCTCTTCAGAGCAAAAGCTGGAAATCGCAGGTTACAAGTAACTACAGTACAGTATATTACTTTCAGGAGGTAAACAGGAGGTCCTAAAGTTACATCTCAAAAGTAAGATGAGTAGGAATCCGGTGACTGTAGCCGTGTAACAGCTTTCGTTTTCCTAGCTACTTTCAAATATTCATTTTCAGGCTATCCTGGAAGCATTTCTATGGATTTTTCGAGTTCTGCTTGTGATTTTGATGCGTGTCCTTGCTCAGAGTAACAAGAAGAATAGCAAAAGTAACAAGCACCACAACAAATAATGTAATCAGTTACTGTATGGCTTTGTGAAGAGTAATGAGCAACCCTATAATGAATTTACAAGACTATCATGAATAAAAAGTAGAACTGAATTATTTACACACACACACACACACACACACACACACACACACACACACACACACACACACACAGAGAGACTTACCTCCCCATAAGTGCAAAGTACTCTTCTGAGCTTTGCATATAGAACTGACTAGGGTATAACAACAGATGAAATAATACAATAACAAACACAATCCACGTGAGATAAACAGAAAGGCAAAATGAAATGGCACATAAGCTTTGGAGAGGGGAGCAGTGTTTCTAATAAGGCAGCAGGGCAGGAAGGCCAACATTCAAGGGATTTTGCCTGCCTCTAAAGGCCCCCCCCCCAAAAAAGAGAAGATTTTTCAGCCACCTCTTAAAAACACATGAAAAATGCAAAGAAATGAGTCATGCTGTACATTGTGGTTGGTCCCTATAAGATTAACAGATGTACTTCTGTGTCAGTGTTCATGGACTCCTGTCGGTCTGAATGCCGTTGGAGCAGGCCCATTGAATCCGTGGGGATCTGGTGCGTCAGCTCCCCCGAACGTCCTGGGGATTCAATGGGCCTCCTCGAGTTGCAAGTGGCAAGGGGATTTCAATGGTTGCAAAACCAGGGAAGCTCACACTGGCTTGTAAGGCTTAAGGGTGCCCCAGGACTTTGCTTTGCTTTGTGTCGGTTGAAAGAGACGACCGCGGGGCTAACGTTCCCAAGCAAGAGCCAACATGAGTTTTCTGCTGGCAAGCGGGCGGGCAGATGCGCGATGATGATGATGGGCGAGGCTCCTCTTTTTTGCTGGACAGCTTCCTGACTGGGCGGCCGTTCCTCTTCTTGGCTTGACCTCCTTGCAAGCAAAGACGGTCACGGCCTGATCGTATCACTGCTGGGTCACGGGAATGGGCTAACCCTTGACTGAGCCGGCTGCCAGGTGGCCGGTAAGCAGGCTGTGCCCGAGCCAGGCCTTGGGGTCAGGATTTACCATCTCTTCTGCCTGATTGGCAAAGGGCTGAACCCTCCCTCCCTCTCTCCCTCCCCAGCTCTCGTCCTGTCTAATCCCTTTAGACAGGCCCTATAGACGCGCTGTCCTGTCCTGACGTCTCTTGGCTGTTTCGCCGTAATTAGAACTTCATCGGGGGCGGGTGGACGGATCCAGGAGGAGGAGGAGGAAGCCAAGGGTCAGCCCTTCATGGCCTTCCGGTGGGTTTCGCGCTCCCCAAGTGGGTTTGCCTCTTGGTTTTCTGCTTTTAAGCAAAGGCTTGATGCTTTTTTTTTGAGTCATGAGAAAGCAGGTGCAATACTTGGAGAAAGTAACATTTTGTTTTTTGAACCACAACTCCCAAAAAATGCCCTGGCCAGTAACCCCAAAACCTAAATCAACTAACTAATCAAAATAACCCTCTGGCGCAACACCTTTACTGTCTTGGGATTTTATTTTATGATTGATTGATTGATCGATCGATCGATCTACCAGTCTGTTTTCCTTCCTTCGTTCCTTTCAAACCTGTCTATAACAAGAACAAGAACAACAACAACAACAGAAGCATCTTGCTGTGGAAGAAACAGTGATCCATGTACTCCTTGGGGCTTTGGGAACAATATTAAGAAATTTCACACAGTACTACAGTATAAGCAGTTGCAGATCTCAAAAATCACACCACCAGAGCTACAAAAAAAAGGCAGTATTCGGAACAGCATAATAATAATAAACAGCATAATAATAATACTGCACCAGACATAGCAATGATAGAACAAAAGAAAGGTCTGGATCATTGACATTGCAATTCCAGGAGATGCTAGGGTCAAAAATAAAGAATTGGAAAAACTAACAAAGTACAGAGACCTGGCCATCAAAACATCTAGCCTGTGGAAGAAACGCCCTTCAGTGGTCCCCTTAGTCATTGGGGCTTTGGGAACCATATCAAGAAATTTCACCCGATACTATACTGTCTATCATCTTATAAATCTATCAGTTGATTGATTGCACTGTTTTGGGTGATTAACACATGACACGATCAAACAGACATAATAAGGAATCACACCAAAGATCATAAATTAAGACCAAAGCACATGGACCTGATAACACAGAGCCACGATGGTGGGAGCGTTGCTCTTAACAAAGCGGCCAGGGCGACAGGCAAATGAAAAATTCATTCGAGGTTGCTCTCCGAGGCCTCTATAAAGCGCCAGGTCTTAAGCCTCCTCTTGAAAACAGGCAGGGAGGGAGCCAGGCGCCGCTGGTGCCGCTACCGAAAAGGCCCCGACTTCGAGTAGATTTTTTTTTCTGGTCTCCTTTGGTCTGGCAACCTGGAGAAACACGGCCTGAGAGGAGCGGCTGGTGCAGGCAGATGACCTCCAGGGAAAGACACTCCGACAAGTAACAGGGTCCCAACCCCCTTGAAAGGGTCCATGGGTCAACACCCAAACCTTGATCCGGGTTACTCTTTGTGAATGGAACTCTGTGCCAAGGCCTGTTCCCGTGTGGTCTTCAGACCTTTCTTGGTTCAGAGGAAAGGAAAACAAAACCCAGTTGGGCACCTGGTTCACAAAATCACCCCACCAGTTATGTGGCACAAACTCCCAACGAAATGAACAGCAAGGGCTCCCAGACAGTTTAATGCTCCCATTTATTTCAAGCGGGATTCCACAAGAGGATTTCATGGTGAACTGCAACCTGGGAGGTGTGTTTCCTTCTCTGCTGCTTTCCTTGGTGCTCAGAATCAGTCCGTTTTGGTGCCCCCAGCATCTGCTCTATCCTTTGTCTTAGCTCTGTGACTTCATCATCATCATCATCATCATCATCATCATCATCATCATCTTCTATTCTTTGTCTTAGCTCTGTGACTTCTTCCTCCTCCTCCTCCTCCTCCTCCTCCTCATCATCATCATCATCATCTTAGAAGTGCAGAGCTGGAAGGACTACAGGATACTGTCCCCAAACAGATAACCTTATTGGCTTCTGAAAGGAAGCTCACCAGTGAACTGTACTCGACAGATCTCCTTCACTTGAAGAGCGAATTCCTTAAGCAGCCTTAAAAGCAGCACGCTTTAGGTGCTGATTGCGTGTGACAGTCACAGCAGGAGATTTGCTCACCTCCTGTAGTTTGCAAATGATCTCATTTTACTTAGGGAGCGGACTTGAGACCACGGGTGTAGCCTTTGTTTGTTTGCAGGTCTGATTTCTGAGGCACAAATGACCCCTCCGTTGTGTCACTCAAATGCCAACGCAATTCCATCTTTAGTGGCCCATTTTCCTTAATACATAGATTTGCCCCTCTGTTCCGCCGGACACGTGTGGGACTTCTCTTCCCACGGGAATGAGAGAAAGGGTGGTTGCTTGCCCCGCTCACCTTTGGGCGGCAGCACCAAAAGGGAAAATGTACTCCCCCCCCCCGTCGGAACACTGGCTTCCTGCCTGT